TGTTATGCTGCCATTATTTGGCAGATATAGGGTAGAATAATGGCAGATTTTTTTTCTGTTATTTACCTATTATTTACTCTTTATTTATTTATTCAATCTATGATATCTTGTAGAGTTTAACTGAATCCTAGTATTAACTTTATAGTATATTTTTAGTACTTATAATATATTTTTACTTTGTTATAAGTCTCTTAATTAAGATAGTCTAGTAAAACTATGATCTATCCTTAATATATCAAGTCTAGTAGAACTATGATCTATCCTTAATATATCAAGTCTAGTCTAATATTCTTTTCTTTTGATCTTAATAGCTTGATTAGTTATTTAGAGATTTTTGTTTGTTTGATTTTTTTATATTAGTATTTATTTTTTAAATCTAACTTTTATAATAGTATTGTTAAAATTTTATGTTATTTTTTTACTTAATTTTTTCAAGTAGGTTTTGGGTTTTTTTAGTTCTACAGATTTATATAATCACAAAAACTTATCTTAGATTTGCACTGTCTAATATTAGTTTATATCTTTTTATATAACTAAGATTATATTGATATTCTATGATCTGTTAGTTATATTAATATAATCATAATTGCAAATATCTTATCTCAACTAATCAACAGAATGCAATTGTTATAATACAGATATATTTTTTAAATTTTTATCTTTAGTAAATTTTGAACTTACAATTTGTCACTTAAAAGAGTAACAACTTATTCACTTTACTAAGTTATTACATTCTAATATTTTAATTTAATTTATAAGTATTAACTATTACATTATCAATTTATAGATCTTAGATTATAAATTTAAATCTTCTATTGTAGTTAATCTTTTATTTTAATTAATTTTTTAATTTGAAATAGTTTTTTTATTATTTATAATAAGTTTATAAATACTTTTGGATTACAATTACAAGATAATAAATTCAAATCCTATTGAATAATAACAACTTTGTCAGAATCTTAATTGAAAATAATCTTTAAAGAATTTTCTATTAAAAACAAGAACAAGATCCACATATAAGAATGCAGTCTGCCATCAAGTCTGCCATCATAACCATAAAGTTGAGAATAATCAAAAAAGATGAATCCATCAACAAATAACATTAACATTGAAGAAATTCAACTAAAAAAAAATTAATAAAAAGGCTTTAGATATAAAAGATGATCTGACTGGTAAGTCATATAGTTAGAGAACTGCGAACTGAATAAAAGATAGTAGGTCCTACACTGCAAAGCCAGGAACCCAGAACATTATATGTGAACTTTACGGAGCATGAGCTATCTCCACAAGTACAGTGATGCATATAGGGATCACACGCCATCTGATGATCTCCGCTGACTGATAACTCTGGGATGTAACAGATACTAAAGGTGTCTAAGGACCTTCAAGATAACGGAGGAAAGAGAAAAAAAAATCATAGTCTGCTGAGTGACTAGTTGTTTGCTTATTTAATTCATACAATTGACTAATTTTATCTAGTATAATACTTAACAAGGCTGTAAACACTTCATTACCAATTAGAATGAAATGTTCTTTATACTCATCACAAATAAATCATAAATGTTCATAAACTTAGATTAATACATTAAATTATTGTGCTTAATGTTCTTTATACTAATCTAAAATAAAATTTCTAAGTTTGGATGGCCCATTTAAATTCTTAGATTAATCAGTCTTACATGCTAATTCTGGATTTGAATAATTTATTTTGAATACTTATATTAATAAATGTTCTTCACGCTCATTAAAAGATATTAAATAGTATGTATCTAAATATTTGCATCCATAGTTACGTACGTACGCACACATGTGTGTTTTTGATTAATTCTTCATTCTTGTATCAGGTATGAATCAATGTAAATAAGGCAATCATATAAACTTCAATTCACGTAAAACATAAATAAAGGGTACCAGTGGGTAATAGCAGCATTACCCAAGTCCTACCCATTTGTGTAAGGGTTCAATGTCTTGAATCCTTATCTTTACCTTAGGGCTTGGTATTCGATACCCCCCTTGTGGCCTACGCGCAGGTACTATGGATAGCCCAGGCCCATGCGGAGGTCTAGTTGTAACCACGTAGTTACGACACTTTTAACATGATAACACATCAATTTAACGTATTTTGCGTCTTCACATAATTTCGAGTTATAGATTTTTGGTATAGTTTTTTTTTTAAACATCAATTTCATGTTTATTAAAAAATGTTAATTATTTAGTAACTTATAATTGAATCGAATTTTTTTTGTGTTTGTGATTTACACCCATAGGTCTACGAAGAAATCGCATAAAATCTCTAATACATATACATTGAAGATTTTATTTCTGTGATACTATATATTATGAAATACGAGTCTATATATTATGAAGTACGAATTTACATATAATATTAAAATATTTGACGTCAAATTCTGTGCATAAATTTTATTTTAATAAAGTTGATTCCTTAGCAATATCGATATCTTTTCGTTCTTAATTTCTTAGAGTGGAGTGTTTATTTCCATGCACGTACGCAAAAAGCGAGATGGTATCTAAGCATCAAAATTGAAGATGGAATTAACGAATTCATCTTCAATTGAAGAGCTTTCTTTGTTTAATGGCGGACTAACAGGGTTAACCACATTTTCAATAACAAAAAAATGGGTTAGCCCATTTACGTAGTCCGTTGGAACGACGTGTCGATTATTTACGCTCCGATTGACGTTTTCAATCGAGAGCCTGAGGGCAATACTTTCGTATTTTCCTCGAGTGGCAGGCAACTCATTTTGCCACATTTGAGCGACTATCCCAGATAATGCCCTTTGAGGAGTCCTAGGATAATTCCTTCTCAACCATGACTGCTTCTCTCTCCTATAAATTAAGAAGGCATTTGGAGTTTTCCGATTGCTCTTTGCCATGAGATTTTGTTTGAATAGTTTTAAGCCAGAGAAAAATTCTCGTCCTTTTTAAATATTTTTGAAATATATAGAATTATTATTTAAATTAAGACTATAATATCACACTGGAGAAGTCCGTCCTTGGTAAATAAATAAATCTTCTCTCATGGTTCTTTGAAGTCCGGCACGAAATTCAACGAAAGCCAAGCAAAATGAAAATCATTTGACATTATTTGTGACAATGAATGGAAATAAAAAAATTGACATTACATCATACGTTCGGAAAATAATAATAGTGCACGTTGCGTACAAGCCCGATTTTTAACATTTTGACAGATGTCAAATGCGTTAGAATTATTACCAATTTGTTAATGCTTTATTTTACATTTTGCTTTGTTATAATTGATAACATTAAATTAATTATCAACCACGCGACATTAATCAATGCAAGCATTATTTTCCGGAGACAAATCAGACATACAAAAAAAAAAGTAAATGAACTGATTTGTGAAATAAATTTAATAGTTTAGCAAATAGCATTCTTGATCGGATCCTCATGAAGCTTTCATTGAAAATTCATTGAATGATACGGGATCTATCATGACTAAGCGCGTAAATTTTGCTGTAGCACAGTATATTAAGTAAATCTCAAAAGAAAATAGTATACACGTACGAAACGAAGAAAAAGCGAAAAAACGAGCATTTAAAATAATCTTGGGGCACTAATTAAAAAATGAAGGAATACTTTAGTTGTGTAGTGTGCCACTTAACCTCAAATTAAATGAGCCTATATTCAGAAATACAAAGCTTTTCAATAATGCTTCATTCTTTAATGCTATAGATGGTGATGTTACCCAAAATTATTCTGGTGTACATGTGACACTTTAAGTACCTAGCTCATATAATTTGTGACCACCCCATCATTGATTAGTAATTGAAAATAATATTCAGGAAAAATGAAAAAAATATATATACTTTAATTTATAAATGAATACGTATAAGTTTCAAACATTTAATTCCATAAAGTTAAAATAACTAGGTACATATTTTGATACTTTATTAGGAAATCATTTCTCTATGCTCCATTTGGAATTCTTAATATTTAATACTAATTTATACCGGCAACGTAGTAATTACGGAGTATTAATCTATACCAGGAACGCCTACATCATTTATTGGTGCTATGAATTATATCAATAAAGCGGCTTTAATTAATTACTTATAATATGTTTAAAAAAAATTTTTTTTTATTGAGTATCTTCGGAATTTTTTTTTTCTTAATAATTATAGTAATATTAATCCTTACTTTTTGCCCGAATCTCTTGAAGGAATATAGAAGCATATATGAATCAAAGAAAATTCAACAAGCTACTATCCTAGCAGTCGAAATCAAGAATTTATAATGAAAACGTGCGTTCGAAAACTATTCTAAATAGTTAAAAAATTATGTTTTCTTGAGATTTATTATAATAATTTTAAATTAATTTTTCTTCGAAAGATGGACTAATCAAGTTTTGGCAATAGCCGTAAATTGTATCAACTGTAGTTGGCATAATAGTCATAAAAATTTATATTTCACAAAAATTGTAATATAATTTGTTACTAATTCTAATCAAAGTTGTTTTTAATTTATTGCCATATAGTTGAAAGTGGGTTTATTTCACTAATTTCTCGATTTTTTAAGGGTAAAATTGGATCAGCAGTTTTAAGCCATTTCTTTTATTGTAAGAATATTATAAACTTTTAACAAGATCAAAGCCTCTACACACAAAATCCATCAACTCATTGTTGCATTCGACATTTATGAATTCTTAAGAAATAATAGTTTAAAATTTTGACTTTATAGTAACACCTCTGCTGTATATTCTTTATTTAAACGACTCAAATATTTATTATTGCTACTTTTGAACAAATAATATTTGCTACATCATTTTGATGCTAGCAAGACTTCAAAATATTCGTAACTTTGGTCTTGCTCGTGGTTTATGTATATTAATTTTTATTTTAAGTATTTCGGAACATTTTCATTTTAAAATTATTAAAAATCCTATGTAGACATTCAAAATTTTTAAGTAGAATACTAGGGCCTGGGTCAAACCCCCGACAAAAGTTGACCGGAACTACAGTTAATGCGGGCTATAGCCTACATATGTTGGCATGAGTGGTCCAACTTTGTAATCAATTAATATGTTATCAAAGAGGTTACCTATATTTTACCATATTGTCAAAGATCTTATTATTTTATAAACCCACTAATTATTTATCGTCTATCACTACTTACCGTAAAAGATTTTTTATAGATAATAAGTATTTTATACAAAGCTATGTAGGTCATGTGGTATATGTAATCATTTAAAATTTATTTAAGGGTATAGGTACTATTTTAAAATTATATATAAAATTGATGGTAAATATTTTTTGTAATTTAAATTATAGAACTTTTTATTAATTAAATCTATTTTAAGCTTTAAGTAAATTTGCAGAATAGTTTTTATGATTTTAACAATAATAATTTTATTAAAATTAGTTAAAATTTCATTAAGCTATCAAAATTTAAGGATTAGATAGGTCATGTTTTGCAAAAAAGAGGAAATCAACAAAAAAAAAGTTTTTTGGAAAATTGATTTTTATGTTATTCATAAGAAAATATAAACTTTCATAAGCTATATTGCAGAATTTTATTAATACTAGTGCCTTTATACTTTAGTTAAAAAATGATCCTAACATTATTCTAAATTAATTTATATAAAAAAATTCATTTTAAAAAATTTGTCATTTTCCTTTTTTTTTGCAGAACTTAGTTCAGATATAATTTTTTATTATAAAGTTTATTGTATATAACTACAAAAATCAATTAATTGAAATAAATTATTTTGTATTATTTAAGCAAATTTAGATTAATCCAAATAAGCTTTATAACATACATTAGCAAAATTTTTAACTAGATATATATTAATATATAGCATTAAATCAATATATATTGATTAAAAATAATTGATATATATCAATTAATTGTTATATATCAATATATATCACTAGTGATATATAATGATTATCGATTAGTTGCAACTAATTGAAAAAATAATGACCAACTAATCAATTAAAAAAATTTTGCTAATTTGTAATACTACTCTCTGTAAAATAATTATCAGATTATATAGATATTTTGATGATACATACAGATATATAATATATTTATTATATCTACTATGTACTGGCAATTGGTTTTCTATATATACTGTAGTGATAAAACAACATACAAGTTATTAATTTGATATGCATCATGGAAATATCTGTATAATCCAACAAGAGAAAGGTGGTTTGGTCTGCAAAATACAGTAATACATATTATATATATATATATTGTTTTTTGTTTTTTTTTTAATATTAAGAATAAAGTCATGTCTTTATTTTTATTGAATATTTAATTGAGATTTTATATAAAATACAATTTTGTTTTTAAAATATTTTAGAAAGAATAAAAACTTAGACTAATTTATCTGTGACTTAAACTAACTGAAATAGTCAAGACTCATCTAAATTTGAATATTAGTAATTATATATAGGGGATTAGTTTGATATTTAATCTATTGAATATATTAGAAGTTTATTTTTAAATAAATAAAGTTAAATAAAAGAAAATGTAATTTATATATTTTGTATTAAGATTATATAACTATTATTTTTATAATAATTTTAATTATATATAGTTTTTATTATAAAAATTATTCTTTAATATTTTTTAATTAGGCTAATTTAGAAAAAAAAACTTTTTAGGAACTCTTTTTTTGGATTACTTTTACAAATTTTTGCTAAAAATATTTGATTTTTTCTCAATAATTTATTAAGCAACTCTTACTTATGCTCTTAAGTAAAGTTGTTCAGCTCACTTTTATCATCCTAGCCAGTTAAGTTTTAAGCCTAAATATTTTCTGGCTACTAAGAAAAGTTTTAAAAACTAAAATTTCAGTTTTTGCTTCTTTTCTATAAATTTTACTAATTAAATATATTTTATTACTTATTAGAAAAACATTCAGCTCTTCAAAGTGATTATTTTGATATATATTTTATTACAAACAGACTGGAACTCATTAAAATACATAAAAAAAGACAAAACCTAAACCTGTCTTTATAGGTTTTTTTACTAGCAATTTAGGAAAACCTATTGGGTTGCCTTGGAAAATTCACTTTTTTAGTATCTATTAAAATTTTCTAATTATTCAGTTTGCTTTTACAATAGTCTTACATCTTCTAGAATTCCTCTAAACAATTTGCAAGCTTATATAATTAAAAAATTTTCTCTATAAACTAGTAAAAATAAAATAGTTCATACTACTTTAAGCTTATAATTATAACACAGTTATCTTAATCTATCCAATATGCCTACTTTAAGTACTGTAGCACCTAACATATTAGATCTCAATTACTTCTTCAAAAATTATTCTGGCTTCTATGATATTGCAATTTATAAAAAGAAACCAAAAAATGTTAGAGTTATTCCTAACAAATATAAGCCTATTAAATATATTACTATGAGATTAAGAACTTATTCAGCTATATATTTCTTCCTATTTTCTTTTACAACTTTAACTATTAAGTGTATGTATAGATTATTTCATATTTAATTCATCTCAGAAAACAACAAAACATACAAAATTACCAATATAATTGAATCAACAACTAATTCACAAGCCAAAAAACTTTGACAAACACTTTACAAATCAACATCTAATGTTCCACCATTTTCTTTATTAACTACTCACATACACATTTGTCCCAAATGTCAAATTTTAATCAACTGCAAAGTTACTAACAACAAACTTGAATTGCAAAATAAAACTATGTTTTACAAAAATAAAGCATATTACAATAAGTGTCTTGCTAAAATCTATAATCAAACCAAATCAACCAATCAATCCAAACCTCAACCTATCATCAACTCTAAACAAAGTTCCTCTTTACAATACAAGCTTCCAGTTTAACAACTAATCCAACCCTTAAATAATAATCATTTAAATAACCCTTCTACTTCTAAGTTTACACCTCCTTAAATAATTTTTACAGAAACAACTAATACTAATAATAATATAAATATTGACAACTCCATTTCATTAAACAACAGCAACTCCAATACATTAACTAGCAATTCACAACAACAATAACCCTTACACCAGACCTTATCATCACAACAAAAACAACAGCCCAACCAAAAACTATCTTAACAATCCCAACTATCTCAGTCTTATAGTCAAGTAACAAGACCCAAGCTTAATTCATCATATGACTTTGTAGCAAACTTTTCAGTTACAGATGAAATGCAGAATTATACTAAACTACAAACAGAGTTATCTTATAAACTTTTCAATTTTCTTAAAGAATATGATATAATTTTTATTCAGAAAAAACCATCAAAGAAATATCTGGCAACTGATACATACTTAAAACAAGCTCCTATTTATTAATTAGACAATAGACTGATGCTAGACCACAATTTCTTATAGATTTAATTCAACAACACAATGCAAACAATGACAAATCTGCTACAATTCCATTTAACATTCTTGAAAAAACATTAAAAAAACTTATTCTTACATTTATAACAGTCTTCTTTACCAAACTAAATTACTTAGAAATTTTTGCTTCACTTGCTATCATTCTACTGATTCAAACTCATAATTATTTACAATTTTGTATTAACCTTGCCCAACTCTATCTATATCTTTCAGACAACTACCAAGCAATTAATTACATCAAATTTGCAGAAGATATTAAACTTAGACCAAAAAGGTTTAACATTATATCTAAGGTTATTGAAATTGATAAGCAACATTAATTTCTTTTCATCAAAATGAACAATCAATTTAATATCAAACTTAATTTCAACCTTCTCAAAACTTTATTTCTTGAAAAATACAATATATCATCTTTAAAAAATTCACTCAACCATTTCAATAAATGGTTTAAAAAATTTTTTTCTATATACAACTACCAATTCTTTAACACCATAACAAAACCAAACTTTCTAATTATCTTAAATATAAATTTAGACAACATTTTATTACTCATTTCAAAAAGCTTCTACCAACTACTGTCAAGTTTAAGAAACCAACTAGCCTTAATAAAAAATGTAATGAAATCTTCAGACATGCTAATTATTATATACTAACTTCTACTGATTCTAAGTGCTTCTATCTTGAGCCAATTACAACTAAAGATAAAAAAAAAGAACCTAATAATAAAAAGAAATTTAACAATATTTAAAAAACAAATCTTAAGCTGCAACTAGTACATAACTCAACAAAACTTATTAAAAACATATTTAATACATCATAGAATACTTATCTAAAGGAAATTGAAGCTTGGAATGAACCTTTTCTTGATGCTTTAATATTCTATATTAAAGGAAAATATGAAGCCATATTTACTAAACAAATCTCTACTACTGTTTTAGATAAACTAGCAGCAAAGGCAAAAGAATATACCTGTTCTGCTAATTCTGTTAAAACTAATTCAAAATGACAAGCATTTTACTTTTATCAATATCTAACTATTTACCAAAACACTGCTACACAAAACTATAATATTGATAAAATGAATAAACAACAGGCTATTAACTTTCTTATACTCAAACTTATTGATACTGACTTTCTTACATGTGTTATTATATACTTTGATTGCACTCACAATGAATCTTCTAACTACTCTACAATAACCAAATTTTATAAAGAAAAAACTTTACCAGAAGTCAAAACAATCTTATATGAAAAATTTAATATTAAATTCAAAATACCAACTTTTATTGCAGAGTTACTCTTCTTAAAAAAAGGAGAACAGGCTTCTTTTTAATAAACTTGTCTTCTACAAAACTCATAGATGCAGCTACCATCCTATTAAATAATACAAACATAGTAGTTAATAGAAAAAATAATATAAGTAGTTAAGCAGTAAAGCCTACTTATATGGAAGGCCAGAATTATAACAATCTGATCTAATATACAGAGCAGACTATGGTACCTTGCACAGCTGTGAGAGCCAAGCATATAGTGATTGACTTTGTAGAAGACAAATTTAAAAGATCATTATCAACATCTTTAAACCTCTATGATCTTTATACATGTTTTAACAAATTCCTTTTTTATTACAATTTACTACTTCTTCTATATGGCCAAACTATTCAATCTCTTAGACAACATATTGACAAACATAACTATAATAACACTGTTCCTAGCATTACCTTTTCTGTTAGCAATATCTATTATGAAACTTATATATATTTTCCAAATAACTTACTTTTATTCAATTACACTGTTATTTATTCTCATCTTCTTTCAATGTTTTATAACCTACCTCTTAGATCAAACACCTCTAATCTTACTTCTATCTTATCCAACTTATTTTTTAATAAGCATACAACACCACAAGTATCTACATCAACACAACCTTTATAAGACCTATATCTAAATATCTGTATACACAATGTTAGAAGTTTTAATACAGTAACCAAAAGAGAAGCTTGGCAGAATTATTATTTTTACAATAATATCCATATTATCTATATTACTGAAACCAAAATTACTAACAGTACTAATCTTCAATTCTATAATAACAACCTATTCTCTTATTTTTAGGCTAATTTTGAAAGCTTAGCAAAAGATTCTGCTATTATAATTTACAAACATCTACAACCCTATATACATAATTGCCAAACACATCCTGATAGAGCAATTGTTTTGGACCTCTTTTTCAAAAGTGAAATCAAACTTCAAATTATAGCTATATATCTTTTTTCTTCTAATATGAAAAAACAAAATAAAATACAGAATATAGTTATTACATGAATTTAACAAGCCTTCTAACATAATCTTTATTCAATAATATTTGAAGACTTTAATATACAAGACAACATCTGCAGCTCATTATTCAAAT